TTCAGTAGAACTAACTATAGTTCGGCCATTTTATGTCCAGATTTTGGGCAAAAATGGCTTGTACTCTCAAACTAATTCTCATTTATACAAGCAACATCTTATTAACTTTTGTTTTCTTAAATAGGCGTCAGATCGCCATGTTTAAATTTGTTTCATATAATTAAAATTACACACCGACATGGCTGCGATTAAGTTTTGTGAGTAATAATACTTTACTAAGGTTATATAGTCTAGTGTTGCATAAGTTGCATACTACTAGTACCGTCTTCATAGTTTGCTGTAGTCGGAGGAATTTCTTAAAAAAGTAGTTTCTCAACACTTTAGAATACTCCTATACTGCTGTATTCTAACTTACAATAGTACTCCTAAAGTCCAAAAGATCTTGAAATAAAAAAAGAACATCCTAGCAAATAATTTAAGTTTTAATTAGAATTACACGATAACATATACACAATATAAAATTAGAAATGATTTGTAAGTTTATGGATATCCGTAAGGTCGTCTATAATTTCCTCCATTTTCGTACCGATTTTTTTAGCAACCTCCGACTTTTCGGTAATAGAAAGATGTAGAAAATTCCATACCAGATCACCATCAATTACAGATCGCGCAGGATTGTATTGCAACTTCCTCCAGCTTTTGTATGTCCTACAAAATATAATACATAGGATATTTCGATGGCTCAATCAAAAACCGCAACAAGTCAAAAAACAAAGAAAATGACATTTTTGGTTCAATGGATGCAAAATATTGAGTTTTTATTTTAAATACCGCCACAAACTAAAATATCCTTAGAAAATCATTTTCTGCAAAAACTCCCATTTTTTTTACAAACTACACAATAACTAGAGTTAGGACGCTTTTATAATGGTAATCGTTAATTTTAACAGCATAATATCGTAGCTTTTTAAAAAAATATAAAGATTTTATGTCAAAAACAAAAATAAAGATAATAGAGACAAAACCCACTCGACCATTCACTGTTGGGTTCTAATTAACAGTGCTGTTCCTAAAGTGGCGCTGGGAAACAGTAACAAAGCCTACACAGAACACGAGGCTAATGGCCGTGGTAGTCGACGCCGATGACACCAAATTAAAAAAAAAAAAAAAAATAGAGACAAAATTTTAAAATGAAATTTTAGTTGTGACAATATTTGATTGAGCCATCGATTTATCCATTTTAAAAGTACCCAAATATAGAGCAAAAAGATAAGCAATAGTAAAATTGACCTTAATGTTGTATTTGAAGCCTAATGATGGCCACACAGGCCGAAACAAGTGGTATCGATTTTGAGTAATTTTATTTTTATTCAATATTTAAGAAAAATGGATAATCTTCATAAAAAAAAATGTCCCAAATTTCTGATGCTCTTCATAAACTCAACTTGTCCAATATAATCTTCTTTATGATTTAGTGTTTGTTAGTATTAATTTTGTTAGAAATTTATTTTTACCTGTATGCTTTTGGATTCAGTCCAGCAATATGCGCTCCTTGGGACACTAAGACATTTTGTAACATGAGCAGTCTTCTGTAAGTCTTTTCTGGAACCGGCATTATGTATCCAAGACCTCCATCCAATGTTGCTAAAATGAATTATTAGATTATAATATAGTTAAATGTTCGTTAGTCCCTCACTTCCACTTTTTGTGGAATATATGGCGAATGAGGATTTTTAATTACTTTATAATCAATTAAAATTGATTTAAATAAATATAGTGTCAGCAAATTAGAAGATTGGCGTTGCTAGAGAGAACAGGAACACTTGAAATTTAATTAGGCGAACGCAAGCTAGTAGGCGTTTATGCCCGTTAAAACATTCTTTATTTTGTTCTTAAATTAATTAATTTTTTTTGAAGATACTTGATAAAACATTATATAACTAAGTTTTGCGAAGTGTTTATACAGTATACAGGGTTAATTTTAATACTCACCAAACATTGTTATGAATCTACGATCGGCACCAGAAAAATGTTTCTTATCTTCACCTAATTCTCCTAATTTACACTTTATTTTGAAAAATGTATTGACAGGTTGACCGAGATGAAAATCTGCTTTTCTCAACAGTCTTTGTCCTAAAACGAGCGAAGATTACAAAGGAAAAAGATACAATATAAAATAATGTTACCTCCTAATGATTCTCTAGCTTCAGGTTGGTACATGTACATAACTAAATTCTTTTCTCTGTCAGATACCAAAAATCCAAGATTAGAATTATCTATCATGTATTCTATTGCGTATACTTCACATGGTTTAAAGTCCTAAAAATAGATTAGTTCATATGCATATGTAAGAAAAGATTAAATAATTCCCTAAGAATTAACACAACTGTTCCTAAACCGGTACTGCGAAACAGTAAAAATACCTAATAATACATTTATAAACAAATAAAAAGAAGTAATTTACTTACTCTAGATACTAGAGACAAAGTCCTATACTCTTCTTGAAACCTCAGCAACGAGATGGATTTATAAACATCCCCCACTAATAATAAACTTTTAATAGTCAGTATCTGATGGGTGTAGACCTGCGTATCTATAAATGCTACTCCAATTAAATCGTTATCTTTCAGTTGCCAAATGTAAATCTTAAAAAAAAATATTATATAATTAAAATTAAAAAAAAAAGCGTACAAGCCAGAAATATTTTCTCATCAGTAGACCTTGTTATAAATGAGTCATATTGGAGCTTACATCACATATTCTGTATCTGTAAGGAGTCGCCAGCTTCATATCACTTAGGCTTCACTAGATCTATTGTACATCCTCCAAGAGGGGTCCAACTTTTTGTTCATTAAAACTCTACAAACTAGTAAGGTCGCCGAAAGAGTTGTCTAAAAAATGCCCTAATTTTTAGAAGTAGCCCTTTGGTGGGCTTCTATCCTCTCGATGGTAAAGCTATTCTGTCTGCCTACCCCACGAAGTGTAATTAACACTGATATTCTAATCTTTCAATACGGCATATGTCTAAACGCCTATTTTCGTTCGACAAATTGCGATTCTTATGTAATGTCTCTCTCTCTCTCTCTATTCAATACGTAACGTGTCGAGCTCGCACATAAGAATCGTTGTGCAATAACTTTTGCAGTTAAATTTGTTCGATCATGGCCAACTGAGGAGAAACAATTTGTAGCTCAAAGTATTTCGAAATTAATAAAAAAAAAAATAAATATAAAGATGTAAGAGCAGATTTATTTCACTTACCTTTTGCCCAACAGCGGACACAAGAAAACCCTTGACTTGAGAAAGAGCTGTTACTGGACCTTTTTGATCTTTAGCGTAAATTTCCTTGAACTTGTTTTTCGTTAAAGGTTGTCCTGGTTCTGGTACTACTTCTATAATGTCGTAAATCAATATCTATAAAAAAATAATTATAGAATTGCAATTAGATTATTTTTGATCCACTTACTCTTCCCCTAGAAGTGATATCTTCACCGTAATTATAGTTAGTTCCGACAGCAATATATCCTTTAAGACCAGATCTCGTCCCTTCATAGGCCAACGCGACATTTTTTAAACAGTTGACATGTTCCCATTCGTCCAAATCGATTTTCGTATTCGGAATAATATCCCAAGAAACTGGAGAAAATAGACATATACTGAATAGCTCTTGAGGTGGATATGGGAACCTAAAATGTAAATATTTTGATAAACCAGTCATTACCACCTAGGATCCTGCGCAGTATATAATTTGGTGTCCTAATAATTTACTGTGCAAAATCCTGATGTCAATGACTGGTTTCTGATTGTTGTTGGAAAAAAGTAAGAACAATTTCTAACCTGTCCCCTTTGTCTTCTATAGACAGTTCCTTATCTTCACCGTTGAACTTGTAATATTGGATGGAAGGTTCCGCAAGACTAGTAACTAGGCAATAAGTTTTAGATTCCAAATGATAACTAACGAAATGTGGAGTGCATCTTAATGGAACTTTTCTTACTGGCCATGGAGCATCGTAACTCAAATGAGTAGGTAAAACTCCAATTCTTAGTTCAGACTACAAAATATATTTTTTATTGAATTAATAGCAGTAAAATCTTGAGATAAGTGAGTAAATAAAAGTGGCGTACCACAGATGGTGTGACTAACCAAAAAATTTTTTTAAAGAAGAAAATAATTTCAAACTCAAATGTGACCAAAATGTAAAATAAAGAGAAACAAAGCATTTCACATCGGAAAACAAATAATTTTTTGGCTAAAATAGCAACAAGAATTGAATTATATCCAAACAAAACCGGCTTAAATAGAAAATTATTTTTAATACTATAATTTTCATTTTGTTTACTTCATTCTTGGATCACTTTCGTCTAGGGACGAAGCACTCCTAAAATATCATAAGTTTTTATTCGAAATCGCTTATAAATTATCTATAAATCAACAAAATTTTCGGATATCTAAAAATCATCACCGAAATCCCGAAATTGACACTGAAATCCCAAATTTATGGCCCAAATCCCGAAATCATAGTCTAAATCTCGTAATTATCACCAAAATCCCTTCGAAATCAACCCTTTTCGCGCCGAAAACAACATTACCCGGGACTCGTGAATGTTCTCAATCAACATCCAGGTATATGAGTGAGATTCAGTGTAGATATAGACTATCTGTGAATGGCGCAACTTTTTGACTTCACTTCAACCAATATTGGAACTGAGAATGTATATTTTACGCCGACGAATCCTAATCAGAACGAAACCGATCAAAGTACGCAAAATCAAAGTTATTATATTTTATAGGGTTAAATTAACTACTGTATCATTTAGCACATACGGTGCAACAACGTCATAAGTGCAAAAATATTAGAAAGTGACTTTTTAGTCACAAAATACGCCTAATCTGCTTCTACATGTGTTAAATATAACATATACAATGAATAAGCAATTATTCAATCAATCATTTGACTTTTAATACATTTCAGTTTATGACGAGCAAAAATTTCAAATGGGTCCCATGTAAAACATAGATTTTTGCACTTACGACGTTGTTGCACCGAATGTACGATATAAAATATTTAATATTATAACATTAGTACCCTCTACATACCTTTTTGTTAAAGTAGAGAAAACCTTGGGGACAGTTTATATTATTAAAGGGAGCGAAGCTCAGTACTTCACCGTCAATCACCATGGGATGTGTTCTCAGTTCTCCTCTTGAAGTTAAAAACAACCAATGAGGGGTTGAGCCGCAAATGAAGACTCCATTGTAACCTAAAATATAATTTTTTGTTTCGAACAATAAATAAACCAAATCATATTTTTAGTTACCAGATATATTGTCAAAATAACGAAGTCTCAATATCTTTTCTTGCAAAGCGAAATAATCGGAGTTTTCCGTTTCTAGGAAATTTTCAGTGTTCGGACTGTAGAGAAGATTGTGCTTAAACTTTTTAAATCGGAGTTTTAAATTTCCCCTGGGAAATCTGAATACTTCGTAAACGTATAGATCTTTTTGTAGGCGAACTAACAATACTGGTCTCATTCCGTTATTTCCCAAACCAACCATTAATAGTTCTTTCACTTGGTACTGTTCTTGAAACTGAGAGTCGGTTGAACTAGAGGACGAGTGAGCTGATACTGATTCCAAACTATCTACCAGTACCTAAAATATAATAATTGAAGCACAACATAAGTCCTCTTCTATTAGTTTTGATTATTACACATTTGAAAGCTTTATTGCTCTATAACGAAGACAATTCTATGCAATTTTTGGACATAAGATAGTATTGCACAAGCTAGAATTGAATAGGATTTAGGATATTACGTTATTATAAAAAATGGACATCAGAAGATATTCTAAACTTCAAATTAAGTGTATTTTTACATATACAGGGTGTAATTAAAATATATAACAAGGGAAAATGAAGTGAGATCTGAAAAACTGAAATGCATTTAGGAAAATATGGAAAGTATATAATCCTCAATTCCCCCTGAAAAATGGACCCTATATCCCCAAGGTGGACACCAACCAAAGAAAAATTGAAAAAACAAACATGATTCCTATACTTTTCTTATCTGTATACAGACAGGGCCGCTGAGAGCCAGGCCGGGCCCCAGGACAATTCTCTAGATCGGGCCCCGTGAGAAAAAAATACAAAAATACTATTCCTCTTCTACAAAAAAAAAGTCCTCACATCAAAATACTAACTCTCCCTACTTCTTCTAAAAAAAAAACCTCATTCGAAATAACTTCTCTACGCTAAAACTTTTCTTCTGTTTATATTTTTTAATAAACTTAACTGCCCTCTCTCATCTTGTGTCAAATTTCTCATGCAGAACGAAAAAACCTGTTGTCGGGCCCCCTTAACAGCGGTGCCGGGCCCCCATTTCAGCCCGGGCCCCGGGAATTAGTCCCGGCTACCCCCCCCCCCTCTAGTCGGTCCTGTATACAGATAGGAAAGTAAAAATGCGGGCTTGAACGGTTATTGTTGTTAGACAACACGGTATACAGTGAGGTGTATTTTGTGTTGCAGTCCTCAAAGAAACTATGTATTTGTCGGGTTAATATTGTTGCTAGACAACACGGTATACAGTTAGGTGTATTTTGTGTTGCAGCCCTCAAAGAAACTATTTATGTATTTGTCGGGTTAATATTGTTGCTAGACAACACGGTATACAGTTAGGTGTATTTTGTGTTGCAGCCCTCAAAGAAACTATGTATTTGTCGGATATTTTAAATGCGATTGATCCGGTAGGCTCCAATATTCAGATCTCCAGTGTTAAAAATATTAGAGATGGGGGATTAGTTACTGGTTGCTCTTCTGAATTTGGAGTTTCCACATTAAAAAATCTTGCTGGTTCTAATCTAATGGAAATATGAAATCAAGGATGTGGTTGGAATAAAACCAAAAATAAGAGTTGTAGGAATGTCGGCTGAATTAGATAGTGAAAAAATTGAACATTATGTTTTAAATCAAAATAAATCTGTATTTTGTTCTAATTCTATTGAATGTAAAGTTTTAGATATATCTTGCACTAAGAAGAATAGAAAAATTTATCAAGCAACTTTGCAGGTTGATGTTGCATCATATAATAATATAATGACGAATGGCTATTTATTGGCTTTGATGTTTGCTCTATTTATGATTGTGTATCTGTTAAGAGTTTTATAAATGTAATGGTTTTAATCATTTTTCAAAAAATTGTCCCAGTAGTACTATTTATTGTCCGAGGTGTGCAGAAAAACATGCTGTACAAGTATTAGAAATTAAAAATTAAAAAAAAACCGACTTCAAAAACGTGCAGATGCCATCACCACATCTTAACTAAATTTATATGGGACCACCCCTGGGGTACCCCCTTACTAACAAAAAAAGAATCATATAAATCGGACAAGGTGATAAAGTATTATCGCTAAACATACATAAAAAAATGAAGAGTTTGAGGATTTTCTCATGGATCCAATTATTAGATTTTGAATAAATTTATATGGGACCACCCCTAAAGTACCCCCTTTCTAACAAAAAACGAATCATTGAAATCGGACACCGTGTTAAAGAATAATCGCTGAACATACATAAAAAAAAAATATCGCGACGAATTGATAACCTCCTCCTTTTTTGAAGTCGGTTAAAAAGAATGTAAGACTTCAGTTGATGAATTAAAATGTATAAATTGTGTAAAGATGATGGAACGGGATTCTCTGGTTCAAATTAATGTAAATCATGCTGCATGGGACACCCATTGTAATTCTTACCGTCATATAGACGAATTAAAATCCTCACTTTATGTAGCATAGCAATCGCAAATGAATCAGTCGGATGTATTAACCATTGGTGGTACAGCTCTACACCCGCAAAATAATTCATTTAATATTTCTAATAAAAACTTGACCTGCTATCTGTATTATCAGAATGTCCGTGGAATTAGAACTAAAATAAATACCGTATACTTGTTTTCTCTTCAGTCCGATTTTGATTTTGTAACATTGACAGAGAATTGGTTAAATCAATCTTTTCGTAGCTGTGAGATATTTTCCGATAATTATCATGTATATAGAAAGGATAGATCTACTTCTCGAGTTAAATTAAATTACGGTGGGGGTGTTTTGCTAGCTGTCAATAAAAAATTTATTAGTAATGAAATAGCTCAAAAAATTGTAAAACTGTTTCGGTACTATTTGCTTGTGTATAGTCATTAATTTATTTAATTTTTGTCATATTATGTAATTTTTGTTATATTGTGTAATTTTTGTTATGTTGTGTAATTTATGTTATATCCAAATTATGTCTTATTGTGCAATATGTTATATTTATATTTACTTTTGTAATTACAATTTTTTTTTCCTGCTCTATAACTAGGCATTTAGCCTGTAGAGCAGTGTATTTAATAAATAAATAAATAAATTAATATTGTTGTTAGACAACACTGTATACAGTTAGGTGTATTTTGTGTTGCAGCACTCAAAGAAACTATTTCTGTATTTGTCACTACTTAATTGTTGAACATGGGTTCGGAATATTGATCTTGTCGATAGGCAGGGCCGACTAGAGGGGAGGGCAGTTGGGACTAATTTCCGGGGCGGTGGTGTTTGTGTTTGTTACATTTCAAGTAGAAGAGAAGGAGAAATTGGGAAGTTCTTAGTTGAAGACTTTTTTTTTTAAAGAAACTCAAGTAGAAAACTCAAGTAGAGGAGGAAAAATTTTTGCTATAAAATTTTCGCAGGGCCCATCTGGAGAATTGTTATAGGGCTCTCGGCGGCCATGTCGATGGGAGCATACTCGAAGTATAGCATATTCAAAGCATTGTCAATACTATTGCTTTAGATCTGCAGTTAGTTAATAATCAAGTATAATATGGGAAATTGGCCCATTTCTACATTTTGAAGTCCCCTGAATATGTTTTGTTACAGAGAAAATTTAAAACATAAGCTGTAATACATTCTGCAATGAGCTGATTAGATGTTGGGCATAGTCGGAACATTTGGAGAGGCACTTTATGATAGGTCGTTTTTCTACTTTATGGAATATATCTGTTATTTATGGTTAGAGAAGAAAATTCTTCAAATAAAAGTTGCTTGTAATATTATTCTCTATAATTTTTGTTGTATACAAAATTTTCCTAAAATGGTCCGTATTCAAGATATTTAAGAAAATGTGCAAATTTCGAATATAACTCAAAAAAGGATAAAGAGAAAAACACCAAATTTTAAATTTAATGTTAAATTCTTCCTGCGGTGAACAGATTAAATTTTGGACATAGTTGTAACATCTGGGGGGTACTTTATAGGGGGCCTTTTTTATAATTTAGGGAATATATTTGTTATTTACGTTTGAGGAAAAAAATTCTTCAAATAATATTCTTTATAATTTTTGTCTTATACACAATTCCTCTAAAATGGACCGTATTCGAGTTATTTGAGAAAAAGTGCAAATTTCGAATATAACTCAAAAACGAATAGAAAAAAACTAGACAGGAAAGTCACATATTGCACAAATCAAATTTTTAAATGTAATTCTCTTATAGACATCGAACAATCTTGTTAAATTTTAATATGTACATCTATGTCAATAACACCCTAAATTTTATTACATATCTCTTACCTTATATCCAAAGCAAAGATTAGTCACATAAAAACTCAATTTAAAATCAGGAATTGAATAAATCTCCAAATTAGAGTTATCTCTAACGACAAACAACCAATACGTCGGTTTATTCGGCGTCATATATTTCTTCCACCAATTATAATATACTTTCGGTTTCGGAGCAGAAGTATTCAGCGAAGGCATCTTAAAGTCCCCCTCGCCGTACAATATATCATCTTCATTTTCTATCTCCGATTTTGATTCGTGTTCACTTATAATATGCGCTGGTACTTGAGTAAATTCCTCTGGGATTTTATTTGTGAACATACCTGAAGTGTCTTTGTACATGCATATCGTTGACACTGGTGGAGTCTGTTAAAAAACAAAAAAGAAATATGTTAAATCCTAATAAGTTGCTTTTACAAAATGTTTAATACTCAGTTTAGTCCAATAAATAAAGGGATAAAGTTGGACTTAATTACGCCCTATTTTCATCTTCCGGTTGGAAGTAGCTTATGGGACAAAGTTTGCGTGGAAAACGCGTGCGATGGAAGAGAAAATGACCCCAAAAGACCAGAAATATAGGTTTTCAGTCAATATCTCCTAAAATATGTCAGTTAGAGATTTTTGGTTCAGATAAAAATTGAAGTTCAATTAATTTTCTACAAAAATGATCCTTATGATTTTTCTCGAAAATTTGCCCGGTTTCGAGAAAAACGGCACCAAGCGCGCCTTGAATAATGAGCTTCTGTGTTGTATGCCGGAGAGCACAGTTCGTGTATTTACACATCAGCGGGGGACAAATTATTCAATAACTTTGTTAAAAATGCATATTTTTTCATGATTCAAAGTTCATGTGAAAGAGGAATTCAGCTGCTATCATACCCTGTGACTTGAGTCACGCTTGACTCTTTTGGCCATGTCGGAACACGGGTCAAACTTTCTGCTTCCGGGCAATTTTAACCTCGCCAGGAATTTGTTCCTATTTTTTTTAATTGCACTAATTTCCTTAAAATTTTCTTGATTATGGGTCCTCATAAGGTCCTTTGTCATCCGTAAAATTTGTATACCCTAATTTTTTGGAATTTTCATTTAATCTTTGTTTATTAAATCCCAAATTTTTGCTGTTTTTGGGGAGCGGGGAAATTTTGTGAACAACCATCAATTAAAAATTAATACATGATCGGATTGGTCTCTATGATACATCATTCGAAAGCTAAGAACGTCTACTTTTCGACTGTGCAGTTACTTTTTTTGACCAAGTCGTCCATTTTTCAATAAAATTGGAAAACGCGGGCTCAAGTAAAAAACGTACTTTTTTTTGGTGGTTTTTTTCTCCCTGCTCTTTATTTCTAACATTTTAACACCTTAACTAGTGTAACGGGGGAATTCCCACCTTTCCATCGATGTATATAAGTCATAGCTTTGATACCCCGAAAAAAAACCAGTGTATCTAAATGTACACGCTATAATTTGTTACTTTCGTTCCTCCCGTCGTTCGTCGTGTGTGCGCACTATGTGGCGCTCGTGTCGTCTGCTACAAACCATGCGGCCACGCTTGGAGGCATAAGTATGTTTGTATTCTGTCATTATTTTGATAAATATTATTGTTATAGAAAGAAAAATCATAAAAGTGAAGAATATTGAACAAATATTAACGTTTTTCGTTAAAATTAACTTTTATCATCAACCCAAAACATAGAAAGTGAAGATTCAAATCTTGTAAAATTGGAGCAAAAGGTGAGAATTTGTTCATGTTGTTTTTATTCAAGAACATTTGCTTACAAGTAACTATTCTAAGTGAAATCTTGGTCTGCTTTGCTTGTTATAGAAAAATGGAGGTCAACTCTGGTACAGAAGTGTGTTTCCTTTGTAAGGAACCCGTTTCTGCGGATGCTGTCACCGTAACTCGGGGCTTAGAAAATTTGATTCTTGTTAGCAAGGAAAGGAAGGATAAACATCATATTTTTTTTGGAAAAACAAACGTCTTTGCAAATGCACAAAGACTGCAGGTGACTCTACATTCTCAAACGAAATGGCAGCTTCTCTGACGAGACCAAAAAATTACAACAATTGTGCAGCCCCAAGTAAAAAGAGCGCAGGAGTGATGGATTTGATTTTAGGGCCTATTGTATTTTATGTGGCTTGCCAGCTTCCAAAGAACATGACAAGATGAAAAGACGTCCAGGAGACGAGTTTGTTGTAATTAAAAAAGAAGAATACCATACAAAGATCATAACAGAAATCAAAAATCGAATCCAGAACGAGTTCTGTAAGACACTATTGGATAGAATTTCAACAGTGGAGCTTGTAAGTGCCGAAGCACGATACCATAAAAAATGTAACCGGAGATTCTTCAGGCCTCCACCAGTTTATGACAACCCTGGACGTCCCAAGGAGCAACATGTTCAGGACAAAATGGCCATAGTTCTGGCCTATATTAAGGAAACTGACGAAAAACTGTACTGCCTAGCTGATTTGATTAAAATTGCAGGTGAGCGTTTAAAGAAACACTAAGATTTGAAAAAAAAAACTTAGAAATTAATAAAGGCATAAACTGGCAACTGCTATTTTCACTTGAATTTGACTATAAATAGCATTTTCAGAAGGAAATTTGTAGTGGCATGAACTGGAAACTCCTATTTTCACCTGAATTCGACTATAATTGGCATTTTCAGCTGTAAATTTGTAGCGTCATGAACTGTAAACTAGAATTAGAGGAGGTAGAATTAGAGGAAACTCTAGACTCAGAAGAAGTTGTTGGCGAGAGTGACGTTGATGACCAAGAATCAGATGAAGACTGGTGACGAACAGATTTATGTCATAATTGCAATGTATTTTTATATACTTTTTTCATCAATTCACGGACAACTAACCCGTGAATCTCTTGTACTTCCGTTAAAAATTTTCTATATAATATTTTAGTCTAGAATATATTATTCTTGTATCATCCCAGACAGCACACGACATCTTAAACACGTCTGTTTTATGTCGTAGTTAGAACTGAACGCCTAAAGACCTAAAAAAGACGTTTTAAAGACGTCTTTTAGGACACATAAATAGACGTCTTTTAAATGCCTATCTATTTAAAAAATATAAAAAAGAATGGTAACATTAAAAAAAGTACTGGGGCTTAATTGTCGTTTCTAATTTCACAAAATATAAATTTATTTTTTATTAATTTACATAATTTACATATTTTTTTTATTTATTCATTCACTAGCGTTTGTTCATTAGAGTAAGTAAATATGTGTTAACATAAAAATAATAAATATAACTCTAAATAAAATTAACAATTAAAACATATTAAGACAAATTGAATTACGCGCTCTTTCAACTTGACCGGAATTTGGTTGAACGATCGAAGCGAATGTTTTTATTATGCTTTGTCTTTTTTCAACAGTAGAATTTGTCCTTTCATTGTCATTTGTCATTTATGTTGAAGATGAAAGCCGAGAGGTTAGTTTTTGTTCGTTATTCGTTGATTTTTTTGGGTCCCCGGTGAATTGTCTTTCATCGTGTTTATGTCTTATTTATTTATTTATTTATTTAATTTCAAACAGGCATTTAGCCTAATTACATGAAATTTACAAAATTAAATAGTAAAAGTTTTATATATATATTATCGACTGTACAAAGATAAATTAAGGAGAACAAGCAGGTACACATTTATGAGAACTGTTCTAAGTAAAATTTTAAAACTCTATTTTTAAATTGCGTATGACCCAATGAAAAATCTAAGTCAGTTAAAACGCTGATTTCATTTGCGGTTCTAAGCATAGAAGATATGGGAGAGCAGGCTGTACAGGTTAACGTAGAGGAGGTTATTCTGAATAGCTGAGGAGATCTGATTCCACATCTTGGAACATTAAAATTAATTAAATTTAGAATATAGGGATCATAAATAGCTCCATTAATTACTTTGTGTAAAAATGATAATAAATTTATATTTCTTCTCAAGGATAGATGATTAATTTTAAATAATTTTCTTAAATCGGTAGTTCTCGTTACTGTATAATCCGGCCAAATATTATGTTTTTTGTAATAAAGATATCTTAAAAATTTATTTTGAATTTTTTCTATTCTAATTAGGTATACGGCTGGCTGTGATTGCCAAATAATAGAGGCATATTCCAAAATTGGTTGCACAATTGTGAAAAATAAAATTTTGATTGCATTTAAATTTGAAAAACATTGTGTATTTCTCATTACAAAGCCTAATGCCCTATTGCCCCTACTACAGACTTCTTCAAAGTAATGTGCAAAAGACAAAGTCGAATCATAGCTTACTCCTAAATCTTTTACTTCATAATTTCTTTTAAGACTTTCTGTTTGCATAATATAATCAAATAATATCAAATTTCTTTTATGAGTAAAGGTTATTACGTTACATTTTTTTGTATTGAAAGGCAATTTATTCACTAAACTCCACTGTACTATTCTGTTTATGTCCCTTTGTAATCCAACACAGTCCCTAACTGTTAAAACTTCTTTGTATATTTTAAGATCATCAGCAAATAGTACACAAGCCGACTCTTTTAGAACATTTGGTAAATCATTAATAAAAAGCAGAAAGAGAAGAGGACCGAGATTTGAGCCCTGAGGAACTCCAGAGTTCACATCACATAAATTAGAATTTTGGCCCATATATGTAACAAAGAATTTTCTATTTTGTAAATAAGTTTTAAATATTTTGTGATTTATCCCAAAATGGCTTAGCTTAAGCAATAGTAAGTCATGATCAACTTTGTCGAATGCCTTTGCGAAATCTGTGAAAATTACATCCAATTGGTTTCTGTTTTCAAACACTCTGTAAATTTCGTTTGTAAATTGTAGTAGGTTCGTATTAACCGATTTCTTGTTAATAAATCCATGTTGCCATATAGTTATGCTATTTTCTACATGGGAATAAAGTTGTTGATATATTATTTGCTCAAGTAATTTTGCTGGCGCTGACAAAATTGAAATACACCTATAATTTGAGATATTAGTTTTATCTTCTGATTTGTAAATGGGGATACATTTTGCAGTTTTCCATTTTTCTGGAAATGTTTCCGATTTAATGGCTAAATTAAAAATATGCAGCAAAGGAATTTCCAACCACTCTGCGCAACCTTTCAATATGTAAGGAGGGAGCTCATCAACCCCGGCTGATTTTTTAGGTTTTAACTTTTTTATTGCATTCTTGTAATCTTTTTGAGTCACTGGATTTAAAATAAAAACATCTAAAGCACTATTACTATCACTTATAATATTGTAATTACCTTTTATATTATTGTAAACGCTTTGAAAATAATTAGCAAAATTTTGTGCAGGTAGAGTACTTGATAAATTATAATTGTTATTAAGGTGAAATTGATCACTATTTGAATTATTTTTCTGCCTTTTCTTATTTATGTAAGACCAAAAACTATTTATATCGGTTGCTATGTTGCTTTCTATTTTATTTATGTAATTTGCATGTTCGGTTTTGGTTAGTTTTTTAATTCTCTTTCTAATCTCTATGTATCTAGTTGCATATTCATTTGATACCATCTTTAGTTTTCTGAATTTCTCTTTTTCACCAAGCAATTGTTTTAGCTCCATCGTAAACCATGCAGGATAACTCCTTCTAGGTCTTTTATTTTTAAATTTGACAACACATATATCAAAAATATTATTTAATGTTTCATAAAAAAATTCTGTTGCCCTATTTACATCTTTTTGAGCTAAGACATTACCCCAGTTAGCTTCCCTCAGTTTTTCTACTAATAATTCAAAATTGGCTTTTTTAAAATTGAACTTGTTACTTAAATCCCTATTGTCACAGCATTTTTAACATACATCTTTATTGATCTCAACGTATATTTCTAAAGCCGGATGGTACTCACTGTCCTCTTTCACTAAAGCTTGGTGACACTTTTCAACAACGACCTTAGTGGAATCTGATGACATAACCAGATCTAGCATTTCCCCTCTGTTATTTTGAACAGTATTTTTTTGGGTCATAGAAGTGATAGATACAAATTCCGATATTGCAATTATTTTGGGATTTTTAATATTTAATGAATTTATATTATTACCCGATATTTGAGGAATATTAAAGTCTCCGAATATATATGCATTTTTATTTAATATATGCTCCTGCAAAGTATCAAACATTATATTATAAGAATCAATTTTGTTGTCTGGCGGTATATACACTAAGACTATTACACAATTACTAGAATTATTAACTTTAATGTCTACGATAAGCATTTCGTAATTTTTTGATATTGAATTGACATTTAAAACTTTAATTTTATTTTTATTAATACACATCAAAATTCCACCACCTTTACTTTTACCTGTGCAGTTAAAATCGCGGTCAGCTCTGACCACATTATAGTTATTTAAATCAATTAACTCTCCTTCCCCTACGTTATCCTTTAGCCACGTCTCAGTTACCAACAATATATCATAATGACAATCCGCAGTATTATAATAAAATTCTGTAAGTTTTCCATTGAGTCCACGGCAATTTTGGTAATATATATGTAACGAATTCATAGAAATATACCCAAATTAATGAATATTGCGACCTGCTCAGCTCCCATGAAATTATTACATCACATATCCTTGGTAAATAAACTTATCATTTAAAATTACATATATTTTTTTTTAAATAAAATTATTGCTTAAGTTAATTCAGTTAATCGACTACTTGTATACTTAAATAGAGAAAGAATACTAAACCAACTCAAGAAACATTAAAATTATTTAATACGTAAAAAAAAATTAAACTTTTATGCATCTACATATGCCATTGCAAAAGCACAGAGAGCTTAACTATAATAAAAAAAACCACGAAACTCTTAATATACATTAGGATAATAGGACTTTTCTCGATTAAACATTTTTTTTCTTTTAAATAAGAATATTCAATTGTATCTAATACGATATAACTACTTAGATAAAAAATACTGAACCAACCTAAAGATAATATTTAAATTAAAAATAACAAATTGAATTTTATCGATTCTGGAGAAGTTTAAAAAGAAAAAAAAAAACATTCAAACATGCATCCATGCTATTGCAACAGCAGAGAAAGCCATTTGTGAAGCGAAGACAAATAAAATATTATTTATAAATTAATACTAGTAAATGTCTTTGATTATACTTGAAAATTGATGAATCTTTTTAATATAAACGAATATCTACTATTTTAACCTTGAAAATATTAGTCTACCTAGTAAACACCTAGAATTTGAACAAAAAAGTAATAAACTCAACTTTTGAAAAGATAACTACAAATTATTTTTATAGAGAGATTAGTCCAGCGGCAATCCCGACCAGCGCGCAGCGTACTAATTGTTAATTTTTAAAGGAACATTTCGTATACCTTGATCAGTTCTAGCCATGATTTTACCAAACTGTGTCCAGACATTCTTCTTTCCATATAATTGACATGCATCTTTATACGTTTCGTACTGTGGCTTGGTGAGATCTTCATTGATATAAATTTTTGTATTCCTTAAATTTCTTCTTGAGTAATATACTTCCTTTCTCTTTATATTTGTTACGAATTTTACAATAATAGTTCTTGTCCTCTCTATATCAGTGAATTTACCTAATCTGTAAACATCATATAGGTCCCTTTCCTCAAATTTTATTTTTATGACTTCGTTGATGAGTTTTGTGATTTTAGTGATTAAGTTCTCATTGTCTTCTTCAGCAACTCCATCAATTCTCAGGGCATTACTTTTCTGAGTTCCATCATATTGTTCAATTTTTTTATTTAATACAGCTATTTTGCTTTCATTACTTTCTATTTTGTCAGACAACTTGTTAATATTACTATCCATTTTATTAAGCGTGTTTTCAAGTTTATCCAGTTTAGTTTCTAGTTTATCTAGTAATTCTTTATTTATATTTCTAATAGTGCACTCTAACTGACCTTGCTCCACAACTAATGGTTCAACTTGCGAGCTTTGTGAAAACTTTTTCGATCTGCTTCCCATTGTATATTTTCCAATATAAACTAATGTTTTTCCAGATTTTATTTTACTATTTAATGATTCTTGTTCTTACAACACTGTAGTCCAACTTTCGCACCGGTTTTCCTTGAATTTACCACTTAAAACACTTATTATTTTGGGAGCTCGACAAGCACGTGCTTACAGTCGAAATATCATCGAATATGTTCACCTTCTGCGTGAAAGGTGAGAACTGCCGTGGATTACTGTGAATTTATAAGCATAAAAGTTTACTGCATATACTGAAAAAACAAATAGAAGAACCCTTATTAGTGTTTTAAGTACGTCTAGGCGTCTAGAGCTGACTTAGAAGCTTCATCGGATGTAAATATATCTGAATTAGAGTTGAAAGTACAGGAAGATTGCCATTTTTGACCACCCTTAACCCACACTATCTACTGAAATTTTAATTAAATCGAATTTGACAGATGAGCTATAATGCTTAATATTTTACACAGCGCAGTTAAAATTATTGCAACCCAGACTGGATCAGAAGAGCATCAGACAGAAGATTAACCACTAATGGAGGAAGAATAAAAAAAAATAATTTGTAATATTACTTTTTTTAACGAAATGTTTCAGTATTTTGTTAATAATAATGTTTATAGAAAATATGTGTTTCATTTTGTATAGAAGGAATTTACAGAAGCTTTTAAAACTAAATCCGAGAGTACGTCTTACCAATGTCAAAAAACAGACATATTCAAGATGTCTTAATAACGTTACCTTTTGTAACATCAGACGTATTAAAGATGTCTTTAAGACGTCTGGCCGGCGTCATAAGACGTCTTTTAGACGTCTGTCATGTCTCTGACAGACGTCTTATGGACGTCTTAAAGATGTCTCTGTGCTGTCTGGGATTATATTGGGTTCTCCCGTTGATAAATATATAAATAAATAAAAATATATTTTTCTATAATAAATGAAACATGAAAACATTTATAACTCTTTATTCCAAAAACCTCAATTACTCCGGTTGCAAAAAATTTGCGGAGAATCTGCAAGAAATTGTTGCTGAGTATCATGGATAAATATTCTTCACTCTTGAGGCATTTCCAGTTTTCCTTACCAAAAACCTAATGAACTTTAGTATTTTGCCACATGTGCAAAGCTGATTGTTGCTAGTTTCAGGCCAATTGGTGGGGTCCATCCTGCTGTAATTAATCTTATAGCCTGGTTTCCTAAAAAGTATATCTTGAGGCCTTATCTGCGAGGAAAACAAGACCCTCGGAAATATAAATATCCTTCAAAAGTGTCTGGTTACAGGGTTTCTCATTTATGGCACCGAGGATTTTCCCAATCTATAAAATGTCGTGGCGCCATCTACAATTGGTTTCCACACTCCAAAATATTGAAAATAATGGATTTCCAACACCCCCCAGCTCAAATTTTGTACAAAACATAGGAACAAATTCCTGGCGAGGTCAAAATTGCCCGGGAGCAGAAAGTTTGACCCATGTTCCGACATGGCCAAAAGAGTCAAGCGTGACTCAAGTCACAGGGTATGATAGCAGCTGAATTCCTCTTTCACATGAACTTTGAATCATGAGAAAATATGCATTTTTAACAAAGTTATTGAATAATTTGTCCCCCCGCTGATGTGTAAATACACGAACTGTGCTCTCCGGCATACAACACAGAAGCTCATTATTCAAGGCGAGCTTGGTGCCGTTTTTCTCGAAACCGGGCAAATTTTCGAGAAAAATCATAAGGACCATTTTTGTAGAAAATTAACTGAACTTCAATTTTTATTTGAACCAAAAATCTCTAACTGCCATATTTTAGGAGATATTGGCTGAAAACCTATTTTTCTAGTCTTTTGGGGCCATTTTCTCCGCCATCGCACGCGTTTTCCACGCAAACTTTGTCTCATGATTAATGAGATACCAAAAGTTACTTGAAACCGGAAGATGAAAATAGGGCGTAATTAAGTCCAACTTTCCTCCTTCATTTACTGGACTAGTTGCAATTTGAAGTCGTGTCATTCAGACAAAAAACATTCTTAAGATCTGTCAAAGTTTATCGGATTTATATTGATTGAATTCAAATTAGTAAGGATGAAACAAAATTTGTACTTTTTCAAAGTGTATAAATTTTATTACGTCAACTATTCTTGGCATAAAACATATTTTTGTCTCGAACTAAAGGTAGTAGCACCAAAAAATAATTGAACCCAGATGCAATAATTTTATAAATTCTCATAAACTAATTCATATGTTTTTTTATGATTCTGTAGACCATTAAAATCCTAATATTAAAAATAAACACCTACATTTGACAACGTAGATTTGCTGACAACCAATTTAGCCACTCCTCGGGCTTCCCTCAACATCAACGTTATCACTTGTCCATCGGATGTCATTATAGAAATATATGGATCAGCACTCGAAATGTGTACAATGGGAGATCCCAAATCCATCGGTACATGTTGTAATTGAGTTACTCCTTGTAACAATCTGACTGCAACGGTCGTAACTTGTACGATGTATTTATTATTTCCCAAATTTCCAGCATACACTGTAGGACCGTGTGTAGCGAATCCTGTATTATCGATTTCGTTGATTTCTTGACCAGTTTGTAGAATCTGAAAAGAAAAACACGTGCCAATCTTATATAATAGCTTAATGTTTAATATGCATAATTATTGTCTAACCTTATAAAGAAACCAGTTAAATTAATATAAAAAAAAGAATATTGTTAATCATAGAATAAGGTATTCAATGGAAAAACTAAAGGAAGAAGACATTAAAACTGAATTTCAGAAATATATAGAATAGAAAATTAAGAATAGACACTGAAGGATCAAAGTACAAGTTTGAGAAAGTGACCAAATTTAGCTATTTAGGAGTCACAATAAGCGATATTTATGAAGAGAGAACCAGAAGAATGAATAGCCCAAGTAATAAAATGTACAGGAGGAATGCTTCATCTCCTTAGATCGAAGAATTTGTCAAAAAACCTAAAGAAGAGAATCTATAAAACGATAATCAGGCCAGTAGTCACTTACGGAAGCGAGGTATGGAAAAAAAGAAAAAACTTATTGGAAAAAATAAGTATTTAGAAAGATATATGACGGAAAGAAAGTAAATAATGTATGGCAAAAAAGAACAAACGATGAAATGAATTATATGGAGAACCCTCTATAACAAATGTAGCCAGGGCACAGCGAATAAGGTGGTTAGGAGTAACAGATGAAAGACCAACAAAGCAAATATTAATAGGAGGAATAACCGGGAGGAGGAGAAGAAGGGGACGACCACGAACTAAATGGTAACAGATCGTAGAAAGAGACCTAAACGAGATGGGGATAAGGGATTAGCGTAGAAGAACAGGAAACAAAAAAAGAATGGAGGAAAATAGGCTATGAAGCTATGGGCCTTCTAGGCCCGAACTGCTGATATATATTGTTAAGACCAAAAAATAAATCTTACGTTTAAAATTTTTAAAAAAATTCACCTAACATAGTCATCAATTAAGTAATTAATGGGCAAATTTTGAAAAAAAATTGTTGAACCATTTTTGAGAAAAAAAATGTTTTATTATTTATAATATCCTAACCCCCCCTATTTTTATTTAGATTTCTTTTAAATCAATAGGCTTTGTACCCTTACAGAGCTTGGTTTTTGCTAAAAATTTCAAGTTGATATTTCTTAAATTTTCAAGTTTTGTCGCACTTCTGTATTATTATAAATTTTGTCATTCGAACTTTTACATTTTCAACATTTTGTCGTTCGAACTTTTATATTTTCAACATGTTGTCATTCGAATATTTATAGTTTCGAAGTTTTATCATTGAAAATTTTGTATTTTCGAAGTTTTATCATTTGAATTTTTTAGTTTGAAAGTTTTGTCATTAGAACTTTTTTGTATTTTCCAAGTTTTGTCATTCGAACTTTTGTATTTTCAAAGTTTTGCCATTCGATCTTTTTTGATTTCGAAGTTTTGTCATTCGAATTTTTTAGTTACAAATGTTTTGTCATTCGAACTTTTGTATTTTCTAAGATGTCATTTGAACTTTTGTATAAAGGAAGACAATATACACGGTACTTTATTAATGGTGAACCACCGGTCATATCTCGGAAATTACTGAACATGGAAATTTAGGAAGAACAAATTTCATAATTAAAGAAATGTCTAGGAGCGAAGATATTTGAGTTTTTCTTTTTTGGGGCACAAAATTCTACCATCACAAACAAAAAAATTTGAAAAAAAAATCGAATTTTATCTAATGAAATTTTTAAAAATCTTCAGCGACCCCCAAAACATTTTTTTTTGAGCTGCCCTTTGGAGAAGGGTTTTAAAACATGATAAATTAAAATATTTTCGTAATAGAATGAAAAAAAATAGTCCGTTTTTTTGCGCCTTCTGTAATCTAGCCTGCAGTGAACTGATTAGATTTTGGACAGACTTTGAACATTTAGGGGTACTTTATACAGGACCATTTTAATATTTTATGGAATATATCTGTTATTTAAGTTTGGAGAAGAAAATTATTCAAATAAAAGTTACGTCTTATATTATTCTCTATAATTTTTACTCTATACAAAATTTTCCTAAAATGGACCGTATTCGAGATATTTGAGAAAAAGTGTAAATTTCAAATTTTAAAGAAAACTCAAAAACGGATACAAAGAAAAACAGCAAATTTTAAACTTAAGCTTTATTCCAACAGGTGGTGAACTGATAAAATTTTGGCCGGGTTAAAACATCTGGGGGGTACTTTATAGGGGATCAATTTTATATTTTATGAAATATATCTGTTATTTACGTTTGGAGAAGAAAATTCTTTAAATAAAAGTTACTTACAAAAATATTCTCTATAATTTTTATTATATACAAAATTTTCCTAAAATGGTCCGTATTCGAGAAATTTGACAAAATGTAAAAAATTCTAATTTTTATGAAAATTGTTCAAATTAAAGTTCAATAATAGTAATTTTCATTCAATAATAGTAATTCTCTGTTGTCTCAAGAAATATTCAGACGATTTTGGAAGGTGTAGGGGCATATCCAGGGGAGAGACATAGTGAAACCCCCCTCCCAATTTTTATTGTGTTGATACACAAAAAATTAGAAATGTGTATAGTTTTTTAAAAATAATTCAGATCTTATAAAAATAAATTTGTTACAAAAAAAACTAAGAAAACTCAAAACCCCTGTAAAAGAGCCTCATTTTAATTAAAGAAAATAAGGGTAAAAATGAGTTTATGAACATTAAATTTTAAATATTTTCTGGATGAGGACCTCGAACTATTTGGGGGTATTCCATACCTTTCAAATCACTCGAAAATTTGTACAATCCCCGAAAATCAAGCCTATCTATGTCACTGACTGGAAGAGTCCTAATCTTTGACGAAACAAGAATATTTATGAAGAAATAACAGTTGATTTTAATACATTAGAAGTTCTTTTTATCTAGGTTTCCGACTGTTGCGATAATTTTGAACAGCAGTATATATAAAAAAATGTTTTCGAGTTAGAAGTATGTGGAAAATGTATATATTTAGTTTATCCTGTACGAAATAACTGGAAAAAACCTGTAATAACTAAATAAATTGCTAAATAGAAGGACTTATATTAATTTTTTTATAAAACATACCATTGTACCATCCTCTTGACTTAGTATCAAAAAAGAATGTCTGTCCTCCCCGCTTTTAGCTGTCCACATATTAGAACAACCTGGCAATGTAAAAGTAGTTACTATTTGAGGCCTAATATTTTTTTGTAAAACGCAAAGAGCTCCGTTCTTTCCATATCCGGCTGTAGTTACCAATTCCAGATTGAGATCGACATTATTATTGAATTCTTCACTTAAGAAAGCTGGTTCTCCGATTGAAATATTACCACATGGACCTATATTTAGTAGGGTATCACATACTTCAAATATGTAACTCGATATCTGGATACCTAGAATAAAGTTGATAATGGTAGTTTAAGCAACAAGTGAGGGTATGATCGATATAGAAAATCCATGTACAGAAGGGTGTGTCATTTTTGAGCAACTTTCTTTTTTTCAACTAAAAAACAGGCTAAAAAGTTTCAGGAAGGTAAAAAAAGAAGCCTCTAAAAATTTGAGCTCTTAATATTAACATTTAGTGGTGCCTATTCCTAACTTTCTATTTTCCATTTAAATAACAAAAAAAAAACATTTCTTTTTTATTATTTTTGTACCCAGCAAACATTTTCTATAACATTAGTTATAACTCGACTTTGTTAAAGACGAATTTACTTATTGAGGTAATTATTACGTAAAATTGACTAGAAAAATATACCTTTTAATGTAAATTTACCAAACGGTTTTAATTTATATTTAAATTTACGTAAATTATACCAAGAAATCTACCTATTACACAAATCTGCTTAAAAGTAATTTTAACCATATCAACAAGGGAAAAACTACTAAAAAAAATAACCAACAATTACTTCAAAGTTAAATTTCCTTTGCAGTAAAATTAGTTGCCATATTTAGGTAATATCTACCTGTTTGACAACTAAAAATCGTCTTTATAGTAGAATATCCAACTAGGTAGATTTGGTTAAAAATTCTACGTAATTTTATGCATCCATAGTAACCTATTTGGCCGCTTTTATTTACTCTCCTTTAAAGTAATATTAGGTCGAGATCGTAGCAAAATTCTACCTGTTTATCTACCTAATTTCAACCAAATAGTCGAATACTCATTTAGTTGACCTATAAGTCATCTTGAAGAAATATTTATTAACTTTGTTGTAGCAATTACCTGAAAAATCTACCACAAAGTAAATTCGACTAAAAACCACCAATTTAAAAAGAGTCATACATGATCTATTTGTAAAATTTATATTATTTAGGTTATTTTAACAATTAGGTTGTTCAGTTACTGTCTTCGTCATTATTCTTAAGAATTTCGGCCATTTTAAAAAAACCATTACAGTCGTAATCTTAATTTACGTGTGGTGTAGATAGAGCTTTAAATGAGTGTGAAAAATAATTAATAAAATGAGTTCGAAAAATAATAAATCATATCGTTATACTTCCGATTTTTATCGTAAAGTGAAACGTCTAAAATCTCAAGTGCAGAACAACGTGACCTAAATATGTTATATTTACCTATAGGTAGATTTTTTATAAAACCTATAAGTTATTATTTCTTTAAATAGGTAAAGTTAACTAATATGTCGTGAAATTGAAGTTAATTCAACTTAGTAAAAATTCACCCAATACGCCATATTTTCTTAACGTAATTGAAGTACGATTCCAAATTTTAAATTTTTAAAATGGCCATAACTAGAACATATGAATGAAAATACCGAAAAACGAAACATTATTGATTTTCTAAAGTGATACACAACAAACGTAACATAGTTTTAGCTCATATTATTATTATTTTTTTACACGATCATGTTTTTTTCTTATATTTTTTTTAATAGATAGTATTTTGGAAGGGCATTGTTATTTTTCTAAGTAGAACTGTTAACATGCACGACAAAATTTTCTTCGCATTAATTTCAACAAGCGTGAACTGTATATTCACCGCAATTACATTACATATATTTTTGTCAACGACATTTATTTATTTTCAATCTTTCATGTGAATTAGGTATATGTTTTAGTTGTGTTGGTGACTTGTTACAATATTTCTACTTATATACATATAGATAAAAATACCAAATAAGTATAAACTTTCTTTTCGTACACTTGGAGACATACGTCATCTGCAAATATTTTGGTAGTTTCTACCTAAACTTAGTTAAATCAACGTCGAATTAACGTTATACTGACGTCAAATTTCCCTAGAGAGGTATTACTAACCAAACGTACTGGGCTACTACAATGTGGATTTAGATGTAATTCTACCTATTTTGGTAAATAAAACCAAATTTCGACGTCGTCTTATTCTCCACTTATGTCGAATCCACGTCGAGCCAACGTAAATTTTACTTAATTATGGTTAAATCTAATTTTGCGACCAAATTTATTATATATAATTTAGGTAGTATCGACGTCAAATTACACCAAAATTTTTGCTGGGTAGCTTGACATTTTAGCATTTTAAAAATAAACTGAAAAACTATTTTGGTAGGAAATTGAACTCTACAAAAAAGTTCTAATTTATTTTTTCATAGAGTGAGCCGTTCTGAAGATATTCAAACTTAAAGTTGCAAATGTATGAAATTATGACTTTTGCTTTATTAAACTAATACTGATGAATTTTTTATGTCTTAAAAATTATTTTCAAGAAAAAATAGTTATTTTTGTATAGAAAGAAAATAACATATATATACATCTCAATTACTTTTTTTTTCATTTTATTTTATTTAATATCAAAAAAAGTTACTTGTGTTCAATAAATTTGTTCAATTATAGATTAAATAAAACGATTGATTTGTTGTGTTGAATTTTTAATTTTTCTTTATTTTTTATAATTTTACCTGAACTATATTATTTTTCATTTTTACAATGCTCAAATGTCAAGCCACAAAAATAAAAAAAAAAATTTTTTACATGCTCAAATTTTTAAAGGCTTCTTTTTTCACCTTTCTGACAGGTTTCAGCCTGTTTTTTAGTTGAAAAAAAAAAAAGTTGCTCAAAAATAATACACCCTAATGTGCAGTGTATTCTTTTTACTACCCACTTAAAAAATCTACAAAATTTTGAATTTATGAATTTTGTTAGTTTACAAAATAAAATAAACACAAATGTCTGGAGACACCACTAGCAGAAGACTAAAAAAAAAGCTATTGCACAAAACATGTCTCCACAATAAAATTGATACTAAGAAAATGGGGCACAAATGATGCAGTTATTATGCCTAGATTTCCCAGACAGCACTCATTAGTATAATTGACGTATTTTATAGATAATAAGTTCCAGAAAATATGCAAATTTCGAATATAACTCAAAAAAAGACAAAGAAATAGGGGGTAGTTTTTCTACTTTATGGGATATATCTGTTATTTACGCTTGGAAAATAAAAGTTATTTGTAATATTATTCTCTATAATTTTTGTCATATATATAATTTTCCTAGAATGATCCGTATTTGAGAAATTTGACAAAAAGTGAAAAAAATCTAATTCTCAAGAAAAATTTTTAAATAAAAGTTGTCAGTGATGCCATTCTTTATAATTTTTGTCCTATAAATAATTTCTTTGAAATGAACCGTATTCGAAATATTTCAGAAAAAGTACAAATTTCGAATTTTTTGAATAATTCAAAAAAGAATAAAGAGAAAAACATTAAATTTAAAAATTAGCCTTCAATTTATTCTGCGTTGAACTGATTAAATTTTGGGCATAGTCAGTACATCTGGGGGGTACTTTATAGGGGGTCGTTTTTCTACTTTATGGAATATATCTGTTATTTACATTTGGAGAAGAAAATTCTTCAAATAAAAGTTGTTTATAATATTATTCTCTATAATTTTTGTCATATACATAATTTTCCCAAAATGGTTCGTATTTGAAAAATTTGATAAAAAGTGAAAAAATTAATTTTAAAGAAAAATTTTCAAATAAAAGTTGTGTATGATGTCATTCTTTAAAATTCTTGTCTTATAAATAATTTATCTAAAATGGACCGTATTCGAAATATTTGAGAAAAAGTACAAATTTAGATTTTTTTTAAATAATTCAAAAAAGAATACAGAGAAAAACATCAAATTTTAAATTTAAGCTTTAATTTATTCTGTGGTGAACTGATTAAATTTTGGGCATAGTCGGTACATTTGGGGGGTACTTTATAGGAGGTCGTTTTTCTATTTTATGGAATGTATCTGTTATTTACATTTGGAAAAGAAAATTCTTCAAATAAAAATTGTTTATAATATTATTCTCTATAATTTTTGTTATATACATAATTTTCCCAAAATGGTCCGTATTTAAAAAATTTGATAAAAAGTGAAAAAATCTAGTTTTGAAGATAACTCAAAAAAAAGATACCGAGAAAAACGTTAAATTTTAAACTTTAGTTTTAATTCATCCTACGGTCAGATGATCAGATTTTTGTCACAGTCGGAACAACTGAGGAGGTACTTTGTAGGAGGTCGTTTCTCTACTTTAAGAAATAAATCTGTTATTTACGTATGCAGAAGAAATTTCTTCAAATAAAAGTTATTAGTAATATTATTTTCTATAATTTTTGTCCTACACATAATTTTCATAAAATGGTCCGTATTCGAGATATTTGAGAAAAAGCGCAAATTTCGAATTATGAAGATAACTCATGAAAGGGTACAGAAAAAACACCAAATTTTATTGTCAATGGCACATAATCGAGAGCCAAGGGAACGAAAAACAATCACGAGCTTGCTACTACGTTTTTTCTACTTTCCAATGAGTTTAATTAGATCAATTTTCAACTACCTTATATTACAAACAATTTAATTTCATAAGAATATTTAATTATAATAAACCCCTTTTTTTATCATAATGACTGGACTATAAATAAAAATAAATAAAAAAAAATATTTTAATCAATACTACAAAAAACAAACTACTAACCGGCTTGTTTTTGAGTCCCATACACTTCCAGTTCCTCGGGATCCCTGATGTCCAATACATCACTGGCCATACAATCATTTAAACTATCCAACATTCGTTCACTTTCAGACCTGTTATCTTTAGCACGTTTCGCACTTGGCTCATCATTTTCATCTAACGTTATAACTTCATTTGATTGTTCTGTAAACCTCAGCAGTAAAGAATTTCCCAGACGCGAACCCAAAAAGAGGAAATTATTTTCGCATACACAAATCTAGAAAAAATGTAAATTGTTGTTATAAAGTCAAAAAAAACTTAATAATGGGACCAACATTTCCTTACATAACATATTATATTATACAGGGTGTCCTTTAAAATGTGTCGAAAAATTCTCAGGCAGATTCCTTAACCAAAAAATGGAAAAAAAGTTCCTATAGACCTATGTCCTAAAGTGCCCCCTAAGCGAGCAACAGCCTCTCGAAATCATTTTTTTTATTTTGATTTTTTGAATTTTCTTAAAAATGGAAACAAATAAAAGAACCAAATTTTGGCTGTTAAATATGATCAATAATAGTGACCTTTTGACACCTTCAAAAAGAAATTATTTCGTCAGGGGTGTACTTGGGAATTTTTTGAAAATTTTGATTATTCATAACTTTTTTGTGTTTTTGGTAATGACTTATCCATATTTTTTTTTACATTCTACATTGAAAACTACGTTAAAAAGGAATACTTGTTTGATCTCGATTGGAGCAGCCGTTTCCGAGAAAACATCATCCAAAGATATTCGTGCAGTTTAGGTTAATTTTCAATTTTGGCTGTTGTAGCCAAAAAGTTGGAAATCGAGGAACACGGCTTACATGTCCCTATCCTTACTTTTGAAGGTCTATTCAGTGGCAAAAAATATTAGTTGATACAGGGTGATCAAAAATCGGATGTGATTTTGGATCATCCTGTATCAAATAATATGTATTTTATGTCACTGAATAGACCTTAAAAAGTTAGGATAGGGACTGTAAGCCGTTTTCCTCGATTTCCAACTGTTTGGCTACAACAGCCACCTGAATTTGAAAAAATGTGATTTTTGAGTAGCTGTAGATCCTTTACTATTCATATTAGATAACAAGTGTGATATATCATTGAAATCAGATTATCGAGCAGATTCTAAAAATATAAAAATATACAGGGTGTTCCATTTAAAAAACATAACTTTGATTTGGCACGGCCTTATGAAACACCCTGTCACATCGTAACTAATTTTAAAATGTGAAGCTTAAAGCTGCCTACTTTTATTATAACAGATCTACAGAGCTTCCTCACACTAATCAATCACCCTGTATACTATTTTTAGATCTCTAAATAAAATTTAAAAATTTAGTTCCCATTTATTTATTATGAAGACCATAAGGTTTGTATTTAGCTGAATAAAAAAGTAAAAATATGTATTTTTTTGGCGTTTTTGTGTTTCATGGATAATTTTTTTCGCTCACTGATAAAAATGTTTCTTCAGTTAAACATTATTTCTAAAAGTGTTCTGGTGCGATTCGTTGTATTGTTATTATTTTGTTTAAAATGGCTCACAATAACTACAATAATGATTACACATTCGGCGAAATGACGGACATGCACTTATGTTTTGGACTCGCTTCTGGAAATGCCAATGAAGCTCGCAGACTTTATCAGGAGCGCTTTCCAAATAGGCATCTTCCATGCGCTAAGACGTTTTCTAGAATTGACGATAGACTTCGGGAAACTGGTACATTTAAGAAAAACTCTAGTAACAGTGGAAGACAAAATTATGTGAGAACTCCTGCTTTGGAAGAAGCAATTTTGGATAGGGTAGCTGAAACCCCATCGACAAGTACCAGAAAAATAGCAAATGGTAAGTAATTACTTATTTATTATTTTAGCTACCCCGTACCTTATCGTATAAAACTAGTTTTTTTACTTGTTATTGCTTCTCTTACATTTCACGACTTTTCGTATCGAAAAGAGTTGCGTTATGCAGAAAAAATCTGATTTCCCAAATCAATGGATTCTCTTTCTTAACTATTCACTACACAGATTCTCTCATTTAATTTCAGAAGTGGGAGTCGGACGTAACACGGTATGGAAAGTTTTGCGTGAACAACAATTGTACCCTTACCACATTCAAAAAGTTCAGGCACTTAAAGCTACTGATTATGAGCCGCGAGTTATCTTTTCTGAATGGTTTCTTGGAAGATGTAATCAAGATGCAATGTTTCTTAATAAAGTGCTATTTACCGATGAAGCTGGTTTCACTAGAGATGGTATAATAAATTTTCGAAATATGCATGAATGGGCTGAAGATAACCCTCACGCGGTTGTTGAACGTCACCACCAGGATAAATTTTCAATAAACGTCTGGGCTGGAGTTATTGATAATTACCTTATTGGACCATTTGTTTTGCCGAATAGGTTAAATGGAGCAGCATACAGGCTTTTTTTGGAAAATAACTTACATGAGCTTCTTGATAATATTCCGATTCAAATCAGACATAACATGTGGTTTATGCATGATGGAGCTCCACCACATTACAGCCTTGAAGCTAGACAGCACCTTAACGAAAGATTTGAGGGTAGAGTAATTGGCAGAGGTTGTCCTGTTAACTGGCCACCTCGTTCACCAGATCTAAATCCAATGGATTTTTTTGTTTGGGGTTATTTAAAATCATTGGTTTATTCCAGTCCTGTTGAAACAGTTGAAGAATTGGAAGAACGAGTTTTTCATCATTGCGAAGTTCTTAGGAATAATCCTGAAATATTTTTTCGTGTAAGACAGTCTATGATGCGACGGTTGCGCTTGTGTGTGGAAACCAATGGTCGCCACATTGAGCATCTGCTTTAATTTTTTTTGATTTGTTTTTTTTAGAATAAATATTTTTTTAAACCGTTTCTTATTATTAAATAAAAATAGTCCCACCACGACATTTGAACTACAATTATTTAGAGAGAGCTAAAAAAGTTATTTTTATTTACGAGATTCACCGAGGTAATTTAGGAAAATTGAAAATTAAGCTAAAGTGGACGAATATCTTTGGATGATGTTTTCTCGGAAACGGCTGCTCCAATCGAGATCAAACAAGTATTCCTTTTTGACGTAGTTTTCAATGTAGAATGTAAAAAAAAATATGGATAAGTCATTACCAAAAACACAAAAAAGTTATGAATAATCAAAATTTTCAAAAAATTCCCAAGTACACCCCTGACGAAATAATTTCTTTTTAAAGGTGTCAAAAGGTCACTATTATTGATCATATTTAACAGCCAAAATTTGGTTCTTTTATTTGTTTCCATTTTTAAGAAAATTCAAAAAATCAAAATAAAAAAAATGATTTCGAGAGGCTGTTGCTCGCTTAGGGGGCACTTTAGGACATAGGTCTATAGGAACTTTTTTTCCATTTTTTGGTTAAGGAATCTGCCTGAGAATTTTGGGACACATTTTAAAGGACACCCTGTATAGGGAGGTTTAACAAAATATAATAATAATAATAATACTCTCCCTAATTCACCCCCTTACGAGTGAATTTCAACCCCTGAAGTCGACTGAACGACTTGTGTAGGGGAAGGGACGGCTATTATTATTATTTGCCGTGGCGCTCCGGGGCGACTTAAAGATGATTGATGGTGCCATTTGACTTACAGGTGAGGAAAACCCGGAAAACCTCACCCACCATCATCGAGACGGTAATGTATGGCGAATTTTTTTAATCTGCGTGTCATATCAACAGAAATTGAATTTCTATTAATACGCCACATATCAAATCCTAAACCGAACCATGCAATTTAATTAAAAATCCACATGGTCTGATCTGGGATTCGAAACCCAGCAGTCTCAGACTCATAAACTTGCCTATAAATGAATATAAGCGCGATAGACCACTACACCACCGTCCCGATGATATTAGATCAAAAAAGAATCAAATTTCATGAAAGATAATTGCACATTTTCATTTATACAAGAAAAAAACTTACGCAAGTTGTTAGAACACTAGCAGCAGCTTTTTCAAAGTGAAAACTTCTGATGCATCTCATACTATCAGCTAGTAAAGTTAAAACATACAATTCTCCCCCTTTTAAAGACAAAACAAGAGCATCATCATCTAGGAACCCGACTTGGGCACAGTCTAGGGTAATTTTCAAGTCTTCTTGTGGTTCTAAAAAAATAAAAGTGTGATTTGAAGGAGCCACTCTCTTCTGGCATTGATTCAGACATATTGAGGGCCATAAGACAGTAAAAAAAAAATCAACATTTTTCAGGAGATAAAAAAATCTATTTTACTCTATAACAAGATTAATAATTACCCATGTTTTGTTCAAAAATACAGTTATTTATATATCAAGGCTGGTAACTGAAATTTACAAGTCCAAAAAATTACTTACTCAAGGGAAAAGCTGATGATGATTCTGCTACACTGTTCAGAGACACTCCATAAGGTGGTATACTCTGATTAAGATAAATGATAGAATTTACGGCTAAAATAATAGTACCACCAATGGGTTTTTTGATGGGAACTGCTCTAACACAATCAAAAGGTAAGTTGGAAACGCTCCAAATGACAGGATGAACTTTTTGTTGTAAATTTAATGAAATAGCAGACATGGCATAAGTATCGGTTCTTACAGCAACACGGCTGAAATAAAAAAATAATATTAAAGAAAAAACAAATAAATAAAAATTATTTATATATTAAGGCATTTAGTTACTTACCCAGAGAACGTTTTTAATGGTTCATATAAAATAAGTAGTGTCGGTTCATAATAACCATGTAAAAATTGAATGTCAATAACATTATCAATTTTTTCCAAAAAGTCCTTCAACACAATCATGTATGATGCAAGAATATGAGTTTTGGCCATACTGGTACTTGAAGACATTGGTTTTATATCACCATCATTATCATCAATAGATGTGTCTCTGCGAAAAGGAAGAACAACTAACTTTCGCCCAAAAACAGTCATTACAGCACATCTATTTTCTGGGTCCACTCTAACAATGGGGACATGGTGATGATGGGTCCAACCGTCCTAAGGATATATTTCAAAATAAAATGTTATTAAAAAATTATTATATTAGAAATTATATTTCTTTAGAAACTATTACCTTCATATCATCTTCCTCGAAATAATGCAAACTTAGAGTTCTCAAGTCGTGATTATCTGGATCATATTCCACTACTGATAACTTTGCATCAGCAAAGCCTAAGAGCAGTGCATCTCTTTGAAAATTTGTCAGGGATACCCTCTGGATAGACACAACATTTCCGAAAAGTGTATATTGAGCCATACATTCTAATTTGGACTTGGGAGGATAAAATTCTAAAAAAAATTGATTTCATTTTTATTAAATGAACAGTATAAAGTAGAATGAGGCTGAAGTTAGCAGACAAACCGCGCAAAATCTTTGGTTTAGGTGGACATTAGTATCATGAAAGTTTAGAAATAAATAAAAATTAGTGTATTTATTGAAAAAAAATGGATTAATTCAATTTGAATTATTAGTTAAAACAAGATAATTTTACAGATGAAACAAACACATTTACAATGCGATAATAAATATAATTTGTATACCAAATATTGATTAGGTTTTTTTTGTTAATTGATTAAACAACAAATTATGGCCGAGCAATGATTTAAAATATTTTTTTTTGGGCTTTTTAAAGTCGTCAAACGACTGAGAACAAAAAGACCAAAAAAACACATTTAACACGAGATTACAAATACAATTTTTATACCAATAATTTAGTGCACTACTAGGTATAAAATAAATAAAAAATCAATAAATAGCAAGACATCTAAATATAATTTTTAGGTTTTTAAAGTCAAGCGTTTTCGCGGATAAATATTACTTAATAAAACCAACAAAAACAAACATTTAACATGAGAATCCAAATACAATTTTTATACCAAAGATTCAATAAACAAGCATCAATAAAAAAAATAAAATAATTATCAAATAGCAAGACCTCTAAATACATTTTTTAAGTCTTTAAAAATGCGCGGTTTCGCAGAAAAAAACATTCTATCAAAATGACAAAAACCAATATTTAGTACGAAAATGTAGGTATAATTTTTAGTATGAATGATGAAATCGTTATTATAATTCAAAAAAGTAAGAAATTATTACATAGAAAGATCTCTAAATACATTTTTTAGGTCTTTAAAAATGCGCGATTCCGCGGATAAGCCTTGCTGTTTCAAAATGACAAAAACCAATATTTAGCACGAAAATCCAGATATAATTTTTAGTATGAATGATTCAATACAGTATTATAATTAAAAAAAATAAGAAATCATTACAAAGCAAGACCTCTAAAAACGTTTTTTAGGTCGTTAAAAATGCGCAATTCCGCGGATAGGCCTTGCTTTATCAAAATGACAAAAACCAATATTTAGCACGAAAATCCAGGTATAATTTTTAGTATGAATGATTCAATACATTATTACAATTCAAATAAATAATAAACTATTACATAGGAAGACCTCTAAAATCATTTTTTAAGTCTTTAAAAATGCGCGATTCCGCGGTTAAACCTTGCTTTATCAAAATGACAAAAACCAATATTTAGAACGAAAATCCAGGTATAATTTTTAGTATGAATGATTCAAGACATTATTATAATTCAAAAAAATAAGAAATCATTACTTAGCAAGACCTCTAAATACGTTTTTTAGGTCTTTAAAAATGCGCGATTCCGCGGTTAAACCTTGCTTTATCAAAATGACAAAAACCAATATTTAGCACGAAAATCCAGGTAAAATTTTTAGTATGAATGATTCAATACATTATTATTATTCAAAAAAATAAGAAATTATTACATAGCAATACCTTTAAATACGTTTTTTGACTTTAAAACTGCGCGGTTTCGCGGAAAAACATTACTTTATCCAAATGACAAAAACCAATACTTAGCACGAAAATCCAGGTGTAACTTTTAGTATGAATGATTCTATACATTATTATAACTCAAATAAATAGCAAGACCTCCAAATACGGACTTTAAAAATGCGCGATTCCATGGTTAAACCTTACTTACTTTATTCAAATGACAAAAACCACTATTTAGCAGGATATTTCATTGGATTAATAAAACACAGGTACCTACATACTTAAAATATAATGTATTAAAAAATAAAACTATAAATCTGAGAAAAATAAAAAAAAACACTCCTTTATGTGCTCTATACTTCTGTGGTCTGCATTCTAAAGAGCATAAGTCAAATTTTTAGGAAAATAGGGTTTTTATTTATTTATACAAAATTATTATTCTAAATGGTGCTCTATACTTCTGTGGTCTGCATTTAAAAGAGCATAAGTCACATTTTTAGGAAAATAGGGTTTTTATTTATTTATACAAAATTATTATTGTAAATGGTGCTCTATACTTCTGTGGTCTGCATTCAAAAGAGCATAAGTCAAATTTTTAGGAAAATAGGGTTTGTATTTATTTATACAAAAGTATTATTTTAAATGGTATACAAAATTAAAATATTAAAATTAAAATATTTATCACATAAAAAAAAACAAGAAAAACAAGACAGTGTTAAACCACATACATATTGAAATGAAATTATTTAGAAAATTTCAAATGGTTCTTTATGGCCCAAGAGCCCACTGCAAATTTTGGCCATCAACTGATAACGAATTAAAATGCCCCAAAGGCATGTAAACACATTTTACTTTACCAAACTGCACCTGTACCAGTCACTATCCTGAGTAAAGTACTTAAACATATTATTTTATATTCAAAAAATCACATAAGACAATTGGTTTCAATTTATTTGAATGATACTTGGTTAAACTTGATTTGTAAGAATTATTTATGAGGTTTTCATCCAAATAAATTGAGATTGAAGGTTATTTTGTTTTTCTATGTGCAGAACTAAAACTGCTCTGGCATCGAGCAAAACCATTTGAGTTAAATCTACTATAAATGTTTTTTAAACTGAGGTAGCCATGATATGAGAGATATGTCATATTATATGTCATTACATAGTTTTTGATGTCCAAACCAACTTAATGTTTTGTTGTTATTCACGGGGATCTACTCATGAGTATATTTCTTCAATATTAATGTATATTTTGTAAGTTGAAGGTCTATATCCTTAAATTTAAAAAAATTGTCAAAATGCAGTTCCTTACCGGAGTATCGTTCTGCTTTAGACCGTGGATCAACGTCTGGAACCAGTCTAAAAACTTTAAGAATATTGGCTCCTGCGGTGACTAAACATTTCTCTACTTTATTAAAAAAGTAACAAGATATTGCATGCTCTACAGCTGTAGCAGGATGGCTTTGCCGGCAGATTGAAAACATTTTAATAATGAATCAATTACAATGAAATTGAACCGATTTGCCCTTCGTAGCACTTCACAAAACTAAAAAAAAAATGGATTTTATATTTTAAAGCTATGCATTGCTTTATTTTCTTATAACATCAACAACACCATAACAATATAACCTCATAAAAGTTTTCTTTATCTTCTTCCAGTATATTATTTGGCCTCTTATCTAAATTGCAATTAGTCGTTAGAGGACTGTTTGCTTTTACAATTTATGCACCCTTATCTTATAACCTACGCGAACATAACCTAAAAATCAGTTTTTAAATATCAATAATTCTTTATGCATATGCACGTGTTAGATGTGTTTTATGTGTAAAACGCGGATTAATTAATGATTTATTAAATTATGCAATTAGCAAAGTGGTCAAAAATTGGAATTGGATGGTTAGTAACCCATTAATAAACAAAATCCAATATTTTATAAATTTCATGTGACATTTTCCAAAGTTCTCTTTGCAAAATTTTAATTTTCTTACAGGTCTGTTGTTGTAGTCGGTGGAATTTACTCATTTTACTTAGCCAAAGTAAGTGTTGACAAAAGACGCTATGAGAATATGAAAATTAGAGAACGTATGAGAGAAGCAAACGTTGGAGAATACGAACCAAGTTACAGGAAGTTTTCGACAGTGCGTTCAACCCAAGATTAAATATTTATAAACTATTTATTTTACGTAAATTTATACAAAAATGTCTCAGAAAGAAGCACAAAACATGCAACTAATTCAAGAGTTGGAAATTGAAATGATGGCTGACATGTATAACCGACTAACTGCTACATGTCACAAAAAGTGTATCCCACCTGTTTATGGGGATGCAGAAATCGCAAAAGGTGAAGCTGTTTGTATTGATAGATGTGTCGCAAAATTTCTAGATATTCATGAACGAATAGGAAAGAAATTAGGACAAATGTCTATGCAGGATGAATCATTACTGAAAAAGTAAACATTTCCATCAACTAGTCCAAATATGTAGAAAGTTTTTATATGTATTAAGTTGTGGTAATTTAGTTGTTATTTGTTGAATTGATTAAATTTTAAATGATGTAAAAGTATTTTTATTTTTATCCAATACTTATAGAGTTTATGTAGGGCAGAATGGGACTGCTTTTCAATTCATTCAACTAAAGTGGTCAACCATATCTCTCTGCCACTTATTACACTTGATTTTTATCAGTGACTGGTAGTTACCTTTTAATATAAATCGTTTATTTGGTCAAAAGTACTATTTTTCACATGTCAATACATCTTCACATTTAAAATATAAAAAAATACATAAGTATAGAATCAACAAATATTTAAAATACATAAGGTACAGTACACTTACATGTCAACTATACAAAACATGAACAAGAAAGAAAAAATGTTAATTGGTCAGCAAGTACTCACACAGTTTTCTTTTAAATATTGCTGCGTTTGAAGAACATTTAATATCTTCATGCATGTACACCTTTAAAAAACACTGATTTTTGTGGCATTATAAACTCTAAAATTTTTCTTATTTTGTGTATTCTATTCATGAATATCCTGATTATAACTTAAAATATAGCAAATATTTTTTAACAGGCAGCCACTGAAGCACATTCAACATGGAATTGATTGGTTCCAATCTCGAACAGCTTAGTTTTATCCTCATACCTCTATTCTGCAACTTTTGCAATCATTGTAACTCATTCTGGTTAAGCAAATAAAATATAGTGGCACAATAATTAAAATGAGGTAATATTAGAGTATTATAAATTATTATTTTAGCCCGTTTGCTGAGATGTGGAGAATAGCGCCTCAAATAGTTGTTTTTTTAAATTATATTCTTTCAATAACTGTTTTCCTTTTCTGTGTTTTTTTTGTTTGTATAGTTTTGTAATAATATTTCTGTGACTACTGATTTTTGGTGTGTCTCTTACTTCAGTTGTAATGCCTGAGTTTGTAATAATTGTCATTATTTCTAGTCTAACGAGGTGTGAGATCTCTTATTATAGCCCCAGTACCTTTGAGCATTTTCTTACCATACATTTCAAATTAGTTTTAAAAAAATACCACTGAATTTTATATTTTCATTTCTTTTGCCTATTCTCTAACATCTTCAGAAAGTTTAAGACTCATTTTAGAATTAAATAATTTTGCTCCTATATTTAGTTTAAATAATGGAGGTGCATAGTAAAAGTGGGGATATAATGTCACATTCCATATTCGCTCCGTGCGCGACAGCAGCGCCAATTCGTTTTGATACTAATGGACTATTTCTGCGTGTACTGACAAATGCAACTTTTAATAGAATTCGTAATTAAAAAGTATACATGTTAGTTTTAATAAAAGTGTATGGATTTGTAAAACAAGTAAAACATTAATTTATTATTATTATATATTTTTATCGCTAAAATTAAAGAAAATTATGTATAATCGATATAAATCAATAATAAAATATAGGCAGGCAACAGTATTTACTGGAAAATGTATGAGAAGTTGCCTAAGTCTAATAAGTTTTCATGAGGAATTAGTCTATTCTGTCAAAATACAAAAATACCATTTAATAATAGTGTGAAGTTAAAATGTATAAAAAAAGGATCATTACTTATATTTTCATTATTGTTCGAAAGAAAACACAGAATGAATGATTAAAACTAATTTCCCATCAGTAAGTTACAAAATTGTGTTCCAACCACATATAATAATCAAAGGCAGAAATCTTGAAATCTAGTCCTTGCTGAATGAACATTTAAGAATAAGGGATATTAAAGAACATGGTAAAATGATAATTTATTGTTTATTTAAAACCTTTTAAGTTTCTGATGTCTACAATTTGCAGCATTACGGTTATTATTACAAAAATAAAGGTAATTTTTCTTCTTATTGTATATCTATCCATTTATTTCCTTGATTTAATTTCCACTTTGCTACTGAAATTTTTTATATAAGTTTCACTGTTTTTTTTGCTAGTATTTGTACAATTTTCAACACAGCAACTCCGGTTGCTTATTGTATTGTTTTTACCTACTTTTTTTGAAAAAAAGTAAAATGTATACGTGTATTTGATATGCCAAAATTACAAAATATCCCCCCCCTAAAATGCACGAATTATCCGTAGCTAGCGCTACTATCGCTTTTGCTTCCCTTTCCATGACTTCGCACGGAGCGAATACGTACTTGGCAAAATAAGTTTCTATAATATAAATAAGGTCATGGCATATACGCAGACGCTATTATGCAATTTTACACAAAAGCTTTTAGATTCGTTAACGATGGTTGAACTAAGAGTAAAGCATTTTGTTTTCAAAACATTTAAAGTTAGTAGATTATTACACAGCCCCACAAATTAAAAAAAGTGTTCAGACTTGGGGGTCGGACATATGTATATTCCCATGTATTTTTCGAAGCTAAATCCGATCCCGAGCTCAGAAATGGCCCTCCGCGTCTAAAATTAGCACCAGGGGCCAAAAAGGCCTCTATATGGCCTGAAAGGTGGAAGAGTTAGGACTGACTTAAATCGAGTCCCTGAGGGTTTTCGAGGTCGCTGATCACGATTATGATGTTCAAATTGAACCACAAATGATCTGGAGCTCAGGAACGCTGATGAACGTTATATACGGGGACTATCCCAAAATGTCATCTCACTGGGAAAACATGCCACTGTATTTCAGGCTATATTATTATTCTGAATCGCTTTAGAGAGGATAGTTGAACTTTTACATTTTTTTTTTTTGAGTCGAAACATATGGATTATTTTAATATAGCTTGTTTAAATGCTCGGTCTTTATTACCATCGCTACAAAATTTTAAAAATTTTTTGGATGAACATTCATTTGAGGTTGTTTTAATATGTGAAACATGGCTGCATAGCTATGTTAGTAATGATGATTTAAATGTTAAGGGTTATACATTATATCGTGGGGATAGAAATGCAAGAGGAAGGGGTTTATGTATCTATGTCAAAAATAAATATGTTTGGGAACTTATAATAAAAAATGAGGGCTATTTATGGGAACAAATGTGGATAAGGTTAACTCTAAATAAAAAGAATTTAGCTGTAGGGGTAGTTTATAAGCCTCATGCACAGAATTCATTTGACTTTTTAGAGGAGTTCGAGGATACTTTGGCGTCTATTTTTTTAACAGTTGATGAAGTAGTTTGTTTAGGAGATCTTATAATATGAATTTTTTTAATAAAAATGCTTCGTTTCACAAATTTAATGAAATTCTAGAATCTTTCGACCTAGCGCAAGTTATTGATGTTCCAACAAGAGTAACTAAATCTTCTTCGACTTTACTTGACTATGCTATAGCTAGGAGGGAAAACTTGGTGGATAAGGGTATCATTCATCATACAATCTCGGATCACTCCTTAATTTTTTGTAAAATTAATGTTAAAGAACAAAAGGAACCTAAAATGTATACCTACAGATCATTTAAAAATTTTGATGAAGATAAATTTCAAAATGATTTAACAAGTACATCATTTTTTCGCATTTTTGATCAAGATACTGTCGATAAAAAGGTGTCATATCTTGTAAATTGTCTAGTTTCTATACTTGATAGACATGCTCCCTTAGTTACCTCCAGATTTACAAAAAAGAAAGCTTCATGGCTAACTTTCACTATAAGGCAAATGATGAATGAAAGGGACAAGGCATTAAAAAAATATAAACGTACAAAATTGGAAGGTCACTTACAATTTTATAAAAACCTTAAAAATTACACAAATCAAGCTATAAAAAGAGAAAAAAGAGCTTACTTCTTACATCAATTTAGTAAGTGTACTAATAAAGAAATATGGCACACTTTAAAATCTAATAATTTTGTCAAAAATAAAAATCAAGATATTCCCGAAAATTTAAAAAATCCTAACCACATTAATAATTTTTTAGTGAACTCAATTTCAAATATTATTCCGCCCCAGAAGTTATTAAACTTTTATAATACTAATAATGTTGTACCTTGTACATTTAAATTCAGAGAAGTTGACGAAACATTTATATTTACCAGTATTTGCAAAATGAAATCAAATGCGATAGGCTGTGATCATTTGAACAGTAAGTTTGTTAAATTATGCTGTCCGCATATTGTACCATACATTACGCATATTATCAATTTTTGCCTTTTAAACAATGTTGTGCCTACTGTCTGGAAAAAAGCAATTGTAAAAGTGATACCCAAAAAACAAAACCCAACTGAGTATAAAGACCTTAGGGGGATCAGCATTTTACCAATGCTATCCAAAATTTTAGAAAAAGCAGTGGAAAAGCAAATAACAGAACATTTATCAAATAACTCATTGTTGCCCCCTGTTCAATCAGGTTTTCGCAGAGGGTATAGCTGTATACAACAGCACTTCTGGAAATATTAGATGATATCATTACTGCAACTGACAAAGGGCATTGTACTATCTTAACTCTATTAGATTTTAGTAGAGCTTTCGATACGATAAATCATAATTTATTATTAAGCATCTTGCATTATATAGGTTTTGCTGACAACGCTATATTATTTATTAAAGATTTTTTGGAAAATCGCAAACAATGTGTTAAAATCGATGAACATAAATCAGAATTTTTAAATCTGCATAGTAAAAGTGGGGATATAATGTCACATTCCATATACGTACTTGGCAAAATAAGTTTCTATAATATAAATAAGGTCATGGCATATACGCAGACGCTATTATGCAATTTTACACAAAAGCTTTTAGATTCGTTAACGATGGTTGAACTAATAGTAAAGCATTTTGTTTTCAAAACATTTAAAGTTAGTAGATTATTACACAGCCCCACAAATTAAAAAAAGTGTTCAGACTTGGGGGTCGGACATATGTATATTCCCATGTATTTTTCGAAGCTAAATCCGATCCGGAGCTCAGAAATGGCCCTCCGCGTCTAAAATTGGCACCAGGGGCCAAAAAAGGCCTCTATATGGCCTGAAAGGTGGAAGAGTTAAAACTGGCCCAAATCGAGTCCCCGAGGGTTTTCGAGGTCGCTGATCACGATTATGATGTTCAAATTGAACCACCAATGACCTGGAGCTCAGAAACGCTGATGAACGTTATATACGGGGACTATCCC